CTCCAAATTCGAGGTCAAAGAGTTTTAGAAAACATTCTTGGTGGAAAAAAATGACGTAGACAGCAATATGATTGTGTTTTCTCAATAATTCTTGAGAAATGCTACACTTACACACTTGGTACACAACTTGATAGACAACCCTCTCACATGTGTGTGGAGCCCACAATGTCCCATTGTATTGTAGAATTCTATCTAGTACAGTGTAGTAAACATGCTCTTGAACAATAAAGGATTATCAAATTTGCTACATGTACACACTTGATACACAACCCTCTCACATGAATACAACATTTACAAACCGACACAGATTTCCTAACAAACCCCCCTACAACACGTGTTCAAGTCTAAGAGTGCTTTGGCTTTCTCAATTTCCCCAAACCAGAAAAAATGAATCCAAGCAGAGAATACAATACAGCTTGTAAACAAGACAGTACAAAGTTCCAACAAGACGAGGGCCAGTACCACGGATAAAGCAATCTGAAGAAGAGACTTATAAGGTGCCGAGGATATCTCCCAACCTGGAACATAGCATCCGTGTCATATCATAACGAGAACTAAATGAAACATAAATATGGAGCAACAACTTTAAACTCCGAGCATTTATATAAATGGTAATTAGTATCAGATGTTTAGAACTGTTCTGATGGACATTTATGTTTCATTTTCTATGTTTTTCCTAATAATTTTCAAGCAAAATATTCTGTATCTTTTAAATTTTTATAACATTTCTTTTTTAAGAATTGAAATTTGTGCGACAGATGCGCCACCCTACAAAATGTAAAAGCCTTGTCTTGTCTTGCCTTCCATCTTTGCCTTTTAAAGCACGGAATTACAGGTCAGTGGTGATGTTAGCTCATCTCCAGGATTCAAAGTGCAGCATAAATGAAAAAAGATACTAGAAATTACTCGTGTAATCAAAGATTCTGCAAGTTATAGCTAGCTAAGAAAATAATCTTCCAAATTTGGCAACTCACAGGAAAGAGAAAATCTAACGCTTCCCATGCTGCATGACGAACAGCTCTTGTTGGATACATTGGGCCACCTGGAGACGTGAAGCTATACAAACATGATTTCAGTCTTGTACATGTTGTCATTCTAAGTTCTAGGCCTGTCAACAATAGAAAGAAGATTAAGCTCCAGCTTATATCATATGACATCATAAAGGTTGAAAATTCTAAAATTGTTTGACGCATGACATCGGCAATAATAGATTAGCTGTACCCTGGAGTGCTTTAATTTCTGAAAGATAATGCAAAAGCACCGGCTCCACCTTCAATTTTTGAATCTGAACAATATAAATCAATTTAACAGACAAAAGTGAAAATAGTTATTTAAAAGAATAACCAGCAAGGATCATAATCAACAAAAGGTATCTTGTTTCCCACCTGATCAGCTAATTCAATAACAAAAAAGTCTGCTGGACCCCCAATCAAGAAAGAATTTGGATAACCAGGAAATTGCTTTAAAAAGTTTTCAAGTTTGTCTACTGAAGAAAACATCAGCAGTTGTTAGAATGACTATTGAAGAGAAAAAACACAAACTTGCTCAAGGCTGAGGAGTTCACAAACCTGAATTATAGAAAAACAAGAAGCTTGAGAGGAGAAGAAACAGGTCTTGCTGAGCCTGATGAATAATGAGAAGAACACAAGTTAGTACTGAATCAAAATGGCAAAATTTTAACAAGCTTTGAGTCCATAGCCTACAAGTAATTCACAGATTATTGACTAAATAAATGACAGACCTGTAGGGGGATCTTCTTTAATCGCTCGGAAACTAGAGCAACATCATCTAGAAGATACTGTCGTCATTCAAAATATTGAGGGTTCACACAAAAGGAGATGCAACATATTGCGTCTTTAAAAAAACAGCTTACCTGAAAGAGACTCTGGAAACGCCTTGCATTTGTTTGGATGTCGATCCTGCACGTAAGCAGTTATCCAATTGAGAAGCACTCCATCTCTAACTTGGGAGGAGAAAAATAGAGAAAAAGGGAAGTGTCTAATGGACTAAACATATGAAGGTCCTAAAAATAGAATATTGACCAACTAAACCCCACTTCTTTTCTCCAGCCTATGTAGCATCATGTCAGCCAACTACTCAAAGTTACATGGAATTGATAAGCTTCTTACCAGAAGACATTTCTAGCACCTTGGACGAGAGCAGAGGAGTAACGAAGGAGGGCTTCAGGGTTATCGAGCTGAACTTCGAATAACTGGAAAATAGAAGAATAAGTTATGGAATCAAAGCAATGCAAGAAGAGTGCTCAATTTTGCAAGGTGACAAGTTTATGTAAACAAGAATGGTGTTCGATATTATATACTTTTGCATTTAAAGGTAGCCAGCAGCAAGAAAGACGAATTACATAAATCAAAATGGACAGGAGATACAGAAGCAATTTAAAAATAAAAGTTCTGTTCTCCACCAGGACTTTAGCAGCACTACTACGCCATTAACAGTTAAAAATAGGAAAGTTCAGATAGGCATAAATAGTACATACCCACTTGTGGAACAAGAGGGAAAATATATTAGATGCAAATAACTGGCTCCAAAGTTGCACAATCAGATCAAGAATTGATTGTACAATCTGTGGCATTTGAACAAGATGATCAGCAAGCACGTTGTAGAAGCATATTGGGCTCTGATTCGCATCCTCTGCCACAGAGATTATATCTTCCCCACCAAATATGATCTCTGTTTCAATTAAATGAAGAAAACAACAGAGAATCAGACATTACTGTTGGAGAATCTGTAAGATACTCTGATTTGGAATACTCTACAGCTGTAGAAATTTGAAAAATTAGTAATTTTCTAATTGTAGCATAGTCATAATTTCTGTATATAATTAGTTAGGTTGATCCCTGATTTGTGGGGGTCGATACTATTATTTAATTTTCCTTAATTAGGTTGTAATTGTTGTATATATAGTCCCTGTATTGATTATACAAATATACAGAAACATATTTCTCTCAATTACATGATCGAGCCAATACCTACCAACAGCATTGAAGGCAAGAATCAGAATTGCCTCTTAAACAAAAGGAATATGATACGTAAAAAGACATGACTAACTGCTAAATGACAAGGGATAATTAACTTCAGAAAGATATTCCAGACTGTCACCTATTTCGCACTATCAACAGCTTTATATACATTAATTCTTATTTATCTGCATGGAAAGTCTTAAGGTATTCAACTAGTACATTCTCTAAGTTTAATGATCATATATACTTTTCTCTCTTTAGCTTTTATTGCTAGTTTCCTTTATGAAGACTAGAAATTAATGGGTAATCCAATGCTGGCAGTAGGTTAAAAGTCTGTGATGAAGAAAGACCAAGAGGGAATAAAATAAAACTTAGAAGACACATTTGGGCTTGACAGGGACCTCCTTGCATGTCAAATGTTCTCATACTCACTCCAGGTTCAGGGAAATGAATTGATATTAGCTAGCCACCCTATCAATTCTACTGGCCCTTCAAATTTGATGTTACTAATTTTCATTCACCACTCCGATGACAGAACAAGTAGATACCTTGAGCCTTGATAATCCTATTTCTGACTATGCTGTCAATGCAGTGGTTCTTTAAAATTAAACAACGAATACACACCTTCTATTGTGATATGCAGCCATTGATCTCAACAACATGAAAGTAGATACAATTATATGCTCGTGAAGCTCAAAAGAAAAAAGGAAATCTTTTTGTCTCAAAAACTTTGTGAAACATGGAAACGTAATGTAATTCTTAAAGGAAAAGTTTTCCTTAAAAAGCAGTATGTGCCAGAACTTATCTTTTTCCCCATTTTCCGTTGAACCAAAAAAGAAAAAAAGAAAGAGTTAAGCAGACTCTACGCCCACACTCAGATGTATAGTTACTATCATACTGTTAACAATTTGAAAAAGATGCGCAAAATTTGTGGTTCAGAACTCATTGACGGGAAGTGGAACATTGTAATAACTCATACCTATGCATTGAGTTCAAATTTAGTTTGAAATACAGGCAGTCAATTGTCAGCATCTCCGCCTTCATCACTCTAAACCCAAACCAATGCAAATGGGCAAGCTTTCGGACCTTTCGGTGTTAAGTTGAAAAAATGCAAGACATACATCAGTATGGGGATAAATTTGGGTGGAGCTCCTTCGACTCAAATATGGAATCATTAAGGAACTGGAATCTCC